GGGAAAGAAGTAAAATATTTATGGATTTTAAAATGTCATTACAGCGACAATTAATAATTTTATCTGGGCCAGGAAACAAGAATACAGTAAGATGAAATGGTTAATGCAACAAAGGAACATAGTCATTAAATCCTTGCTAACTGAAGGGCTGTACAGATTTTTCTTCCTAAAAGAAAAAGGAATAAACCAGGCACTGAATTGCTCCTGTTGCTGTGTATCTAGATCTGTGGTTCTCAACCTTTTGGGGCTTGAGGCACCCCTTTTGTGAACTTAGTGCCAGGGTGGATCATGGCAGGGTGCAGTGGTGCAGTTGCATGGCCCATGCCTTTGATTCCTGCTCCACCCAAACTTTAAAACCAATTGCCTGGGAGGGGCAGCAGCATTGCTATTCAGGCAACCCTGAGGAAGTCAACTGACTTCCTGACTCATTAAAATCTACCTTATTCCTGCTAACCTCTCTTCACTTGCCAGGTGTTAAGGACCCTCTCCTTTTTTAGTAGTCTGGATGTTCCACTAGTCAAACTATCCTTTTTTCTACAATTTTGTTGTCTACTAGCCACTCCTGGTAATGTCTCTCTTTTATTTCTCTGCTATGTCACAGCCCTGCAGAATGTTTTTAGCTCTAGGTGAAAACCTTAACTCAGATGTGGTACTATTAACTCAGGTGTAGCAATGACTGACAATGAAGTATTGCAAGCACTATCAGACAGGGTTCAAATTACACTTTGGCTCTTGGGGGGGGGAGGGTGGGGGGAAGGGGGTCAAAGGTAGTGGTGGCAGAGATAAGCTATGGGCTCTGGGCACCTGCAGCAAGAAGTGCCCTGCAGCAATGAGGAGAAGCAGCCACTTTCCCCCCTTTTCTCCCCTTCTGCTGGGGGCAATTCTTATCTCTTATGGGGGGGGGGCCATCCTGCCCAAACCTGCCTGGTTTTGTTTTAATCTGAATAAGAGATTTACATTTGACCATAATGACTACAGTACTAATGAAAAAATATCTTTTGACCATGTTTTGTCTATTTTGTGTTTTTTAATTATATAACCTAGAAAATTAGTGAACTTCCAATCAAGTTGTTTGTTTTGCTTTTTTGCTTTTAAACTGAATAATGGAGCATTAGGCTACTAGCATATCAGTAAAGCTTCTAGTTCAGGGGAGGGAAAAATACAGCCCGCAGGCTGCATCCGGCCCACCAGGCACTTTCATCCGGCCTGGGGTGCCCACCAACAAATTGTACCCCACCCAGAGCTTCAGCCCAGGAGGGTGGGAACGAGGCATTCACCCCCAACATACCCTTTTATGCTTCGCTCCCACCCTTGTTGGTGGAAGGGCCAGCCCTGCTAGCAGAGGGGAGGCCTCTGCTGCCCTGGCATCCCACTGCTTCCAGGCAGAAGGTAGGGAATTGCAGGGTGGGGGCAGGGCTGCAACTGGGCAGGAGCGTGGAGCATGAGGGTGCAGTTGGCGGCAGTGTGGAGCCCATGCCCAGGGGGGTGGTGGCAGCATGGGGCTTGGCTAGGCAGGGTGTGGGTATGAGTAGGGGAGTATGGCAACCCCTCCCACACTCCCTCCCATGGTGCACAGTGCTAGCAGGCAGCAGGGACAGCAGCAGCAGCAAGGGGGGGATGCTCATGTTCAGCACTGGTACCTGGCTCTGACCAGCGCTGCCCATTGTAGCAAGGAGCACAGTTCCTGCTGGGCAGTCTGTATCGCTGGCCTTCCCCGCACTCATGCAGCACTGGAGGGCAGCCCCAGGCATGGGAGGGCAGCCCCAGGTGCTAGAGCCAGCTGACGTGGGGAAAGCAGCTGGCTCCTATGTGGGGGCCTTCTCTCCCAAGCCACGCGAGTGCAGGAAGAAAAAAATATGTCTTATGTGTAACCCAGGCAGTACTCCAAAAGGTACCCTCTCTCCAATTGAAGGGATCAAAGCAGGTGCACAAGCGCTGTGGGAGGTGTAGAGACTCTCCTCCCCCTATGGAGCAGAACCAGACCACCACTGGGGACTTAACCATATACCTTTTAATGAGGGAACAATAGTGGGAACATAAACAGGCATAATCAGGGGGTACAGTGGATACCACAATGCCCCAAGGGGGCAGGATTCAACAAAGGTTAGACACTTACAATCATTGACAAAAGACAGGGTTAACAAAATATAAAATACAAACAGCAGAGCAAACAATACTGGTTGGGGAAATATCAAAAGGCATGAAATACAAAATGTCAAAGGACAAAGAAATATAGGGCCTAGGTACCTGGAAAGGGAGAAAACACAATGCCCCCTTTCCAATGCAAGAGAAATTTCTCCTTGTTAGCTCACTCACCCCAAGTCACTAAAGTTGGGACTTGAACCTCCCATGTGGTAGATAGGAGCCCTGCCACACAGCCACCAGTGCTGGTACTGCTTCAAGCTGTAAGGGGTCTTGACTTTCCTGTAGCGCCGGCCTCACGTGGCACTGCCTGGCCTCTGATTGGAGGATTTGGAAGCCAAGCTGGGAACCCCTCAGGTCACTGCTCAGATCCTTGCTGAAGCGGGAAGCCTCTCCTGCTGGGCA